TAAAATATAAGGAATGACAAATTAATAATCACAGGGCACTTTATTTAATTAATGACACTCAACTTATTAAGGTAAGGATGTTGAAGGACAAGAAAATTCATTCAAGAGAATTCTTCCTGCAGGCTATGAAACTAATAGCAGAATTTTCTTTCTAAAATCAATTAGATTAGTGTTGGAAATAGTTCAGAAATCTAAGCTGTGTGCTTTCTAGATAGTAAACTCATGACATGTTTTCTGTAAACACTTGATTTGTAGAAATTATGAAATGATATTAATCTTATTTAGAATCTAAGATATTTGAGAATTGGTGTTTTGATAGAAATTAAAATACAAGTTCAATTTGTGAAGCAAGTTCTACTATGACTTATCTTTACGGGTAGCATGCTTTAAATGAAATTAGTAATGAATAAAGAGTATTTCTGTCAAATAGTAATAATGATGAAGAACCTTTATAAATGAACCTCATCACATCCAAAGTTAGAATTCAGGGCCAGGTGCTTGTAATCCTAGCTACTCAGAAGGATAAGATCTAAAGATCATGATTCAAAGCCAACCCAGACAGGAGAGTCCATGTGACTCTTATCTCCAATTAACCACCAACAAACAAAAAGTTGAGCTGTGGCTCAAAATAGTAGAGTGCTAACCTTGAGTAAATGAGATCAGGGATAGTGGCCACACCCTGAGTTCAAACCCATGACAAAAAAAGCAGAAAACAAAACACAACAAAAAAGCAACCAAACAAAAAAACCAACAAACTCAGAATTCAGACCTTTGCTTTTTCCCCTAAAAAGGATACTTTTGTTCTGAGAAATTATGGAATTGTCCACAGGACTTTTACCTGTTTGGTTGAATGAAGCTCTGTTTTATTTTTTTGCTGGTTTTTATGCCAGCACTGGGCTTGAACTCAGAGCCTCACTTTTTTGCCCAAGGCTGGGACTATACCAATTGAGTCACTAATACACTTCTGGCTTTTTGTCTGGTTCATGGAGATTAGAGTCTCCAGAACCTCAAGCCTGGGCTGACTTTGATCCTCAATTCTCAGATCTTAGCTTCTTGGGTAGCTAGGATTACAGGCAGGAGCCACCAGAGCCCAGTATGATCCATTTGTTTAAAAACTCAAACAGTTAGTGAGCAGGGCTTGTGAAACCAGGAGCAAAAGTTAGAGTTGACTATGGGATTTTGTGCAAACTTTTAAAAATTAATAAGCACTCTAAGCAGCTGGAATCCCAGTCATTTATCTCACATCTTCCATTGTTGCCATTGATATGAACCATAATAGAAAGACCACTGAAAATGGCGCCACACTCATTTTCTGTGGTATTCAGACAGTAACTCCATGTAAAAAGACAGACACAAAAGATTTGTTATAAAATTCCACTGGACTCCCCTAGCTTCCCAGTGTCTTTGATTTTTTGTTTTGTTTTTAGCTTGTTCAGGGGTCATTCGGAACTAAGTGTGAATAGCCCTGCCTTTTATCCCTTGCCAGTCATGAGGAAACCAGACATAGATTATAAACTATACATGGATTCCTGGGCATCTTGTTACAGTTTTCTCTTTAAGACTCTGACAAAATATTTGATGTAGTGCTTAAAGTTCATACGTTAAACTACCATGTCTTACTATTTCATATATAAAAGCAAATAGTGCTCTTCAGGGCCAATAGAACATGATTTATCTTTCTGTATTCAACAATAAATTATTTAATTCCTAAATTTTTGAGTCCAGAGTTAAGTTTCAAAATTATGATTGAGATCTTGTTTATATTTTATAATTTATCCATACTTGTCATAGCCTTTTCCTCTCTAACAATTAACTTTTATCATATTTAACAGAAGATGGAAGATTAAATTTGGGTAGCACAATTAAATATGGCACAAGCATGTACTGCAAATCTTGATATACGGATAAGACATTTTCTTATTCCTTCATTTGACCATGATGTGCCTATATTCTACCAAACAATAATCCTAATGAAAACAGGAGTGCTTTTTAAGTACAAGACTCTGTCTATGGTATTTTCATTACTTCCAATAGCCATCTTAGTGACTATTATAAGTCCATCATACAGAAGACTAAGTCAAGTCTTAGAGCACTGTAGCGATTGTGTACAGCTGGTAAGGATGGCTTTGAAGTCTGATCTGTACAGTACAGAGTGGTGAGGAATATGCTAATGATAGTACACTTTTATGCAGAATAATAAGTGCTGAAATGTTTCTTAGCAAAACTGCATTGTTTGAATTGCCTTTTAGGCACTAGAATTAAGATTTCCAGAAGGAAAATATCTCCCTCACCTAAAATGTGCAGAAATAAGAAAAAATCTACAGCTCAAAAAGAAAAGAAGAACATAGGAGAATCAATGTATTATAAATATCATGCATTATGCTTTTCTACATGTGTCCTGCACAGTATAAATAAAACATTCCTTGGGATGTGCACTGCTTAGAAAATTGATTCGATGTTGTAGGCTTCCACTACCAGTGGCTTTAACCTTAGGGTGATATAGTTGCTATTTATCTTTTAAGAAAAAAAATGCAAGTATCTGTTTATTCCCTGATGCCAACCTCACTCATAGTAAATTATTTATGTACCCATTTTAATATGTATTTTGCATCTGACAGGACAACTCTCCTTAGGACCCTTTTACTGACCCACCTGTCTTGATGATGGGGTAAACAATGTCACCTTCCTAGTGCACAATGAATTACAAAGAACTGGTAAAGTATACCATCCATCATGCTGGCACTAAGTAGGTTTTCCAAGTAGATCTCAGATATCACAAATGCTGTTTAGACTGTTACCAGAAAGCACAAATTGGAAGCTTATACAAAATGGCCATATGATGAATGGACATGACAGCTCCGCAAAGGGAAGGCGCAGGCCTCTTCTGCAAATAACCTTGTCAGAAGCAAAAGTTCCGGAGAGCTTTGCTGGCAGTCAAGACAGAATAACTTAAGAACCTATTAATGGCTCTGCTATATAGAAATTCATGCAAACAGAATGTACTCAAAATCAAATGGGAAGGATGCCCACATTAGTAGCAACAGCCATTCAAGCCTTATTCAAATTAGGGAAATATCTGAAGCAATACACAAAATCACCAACACTCTCTTAATTATTAAACACATAACCTTCAGTAACCAAGTTCCACATCATATTTGCAAGACACGAACAAATATTATTCTTGCCTATACATGGTTTTAACAATCAGCATCAATGTCAAATGCATTCTTCATGTAAATATGTAAATTAGTATTACTTACTATAAGAGATTCATTAATGTAATTATGGAAATAGTTATTGTCATCATTAATTTCTCAAATTATAACATTTAAATACAAGTTATTTGTCTTATTCATAATTGCTTTTTACTTCCTTTAACATTTCCTTTGGTTTAAGAACCAAGAAAAAGAACTGTCTGTACTCTCTCATACTGTTTTAACTAAGGACATTGAACTTGCTAGGTAATTGTTCTACTAATAAGCCACATTTTCAGTCTCTTTCTTAGAAGGGACTGGATATTTTGAGATAGGGTTTTGAATTTTGCCAAGGCCCACACCTAGACCACAGTCTCGTTTTCTACTCTCTGCTGATGTTAAAATTATGAGCCCAGTTTTTTCCATTGAGATGGAATCTCACAATATTGTTGCCCACTATTTTTGGAACCACTATCCTCCTGAGCTCGGCACCCACACTGCTAGGATGACTGGTGCATGCCCCCATACTCAGCTATTGGATGAGAAAGAGTCTTCCCAACACTGTGCCTTGATTGTCCTCAAATTCTGATCCCATTTTCAGTTCCCAATCAGGTAGGATTTCAGACAGAACCACTGTGCCTTATGTGTTTCTATTATTGCCTATCAGAAACAGTACATGTTAATCAAATCAAATTACATGAGTACTGACCTGGAAATACTGCAGATATTTAACATTAAATTCTAATTGCAAAATATCTCAGGAACGTGCTAGTTATATACAACTCTGTATAACTCAGAGTGGGATACAACATGGAATACAACAATGCTGAAATTTCATGTCCCAACAATTCAGCCTTTTATAAGTTAATTTGTCACTAAACTGGAACTATTACTATACCCACTGAAATGAAAACGATGGGGGTTCAGACCTATAATCCTAGCTACTCAAAAGGCTTAGATCACCTCATTTGAGGCGATCCTTAGCAGAAAAGTCTGTGAGATTTATATCTCCAGTTAATCAGAAAAAAAAAAAAACAATTAGAAAACCAAAAACCAGATGGGAGGTGTAGCTCATGTGGTAGAATGCCATCCTTGAGTGAAAAGGGTAAGTAGTAATATCGCAAGGCCTTGAGTTCAAGTCTCAATAATGACAGGGAAGGGGAATGAAGGGAAGGGAAGCTAATTAACTGTTAGATTGCTAGCTAACAGTAAATAAACTACAACAACAAGATTTAAAGCTACTCAGGGAAGCTTTAAAGCCCTGCATTTAACCAGTACACCAAAAAAAAAAAAAATCTGCACCAAACCCAGGCAACAAAAACAATGTTGAGATAAAATGACAGCACACTCCTTGTCCTGTGTTTTTCATAAAGAAAGAGGAAGCATTGTGCTTCAAATCTTAAATGTGTGAGTAATCACATCAATTTTCCACTTAGTTTCTTATGCGCATACACAACTTCCAAACACAAAATCATTTCTGTTTCTAGTCTCTCTAAATTAACATATTCAAATTGGTCTTTGAAATCATAAATGAAACCTACTCACAGGATATGGACTAAGGACACTACAATCACATATTCAACACCTTTGAATTGAATTCTTCTAACATGTTTTCACTTTCAAGCTATGATAAGGCAAGGCCTGGGAAATGCAAATCTCCCCTACTTTCCCTGGCACCTCTACAACTGGGAACATTTAGTGGTTACTTTGGGGCATTGTATCTTGCCAGTGAGCTCAATTTAGATGAAAGCTGTTGTTTTCTAATTTCATTTCACTATAAATGACAGAGACAAATGATCAGATCACCTGGAGAGTTCCTTTGGCAGAATAGGCAGCATAGGAGTAGAGCATATTTTGGCTGTTGTCTTTTCTGTCTTCTTGGTTGCAAGGCTGGCCGGAAGGAAGGAAGCACTGGCCACTGGGGGTCAGGGTCACAGTGCTAGGGGAAGCACCAGGCAGACTCAGCAGCACAGAGTAATTGACCAACTGCACATCTTCTAGACCCAATGAAGTCCAGTGAGTCTTAATTCTCTTTGAAATGTCTGTGTCATCCTCACTTGGATAAAGTTGTACCAAGTTCCTGAAAGGCATTTTAAAAGCCAGATTAAAACAAGACCACAACACAAAGGAACCAAACCTTCATTCTTTGGAGGTGTACCTGCTTGCAATGTAAACAGTTGTCCATAGATGCAATTGTATGGTGAGAGATGGGTAGGAAAAAATTATACCACAAGTTCACACTGTATGATTAGGGATTTCTGTAAATTTAAGCAAGATGATGAAGGATTTATTTATTGATTATTTATTGTTATTATTATTGTGTGTGAGTGTGAAAGTGCAAGGAAGAGAGAGAGAGAAAGAGAGAGAGAGAGAATTGGTTTGAACTCAGGACCTTTCACTCTTCTTTACTTTTTTCACACAAAGCTAGTGATCTACAACTTGAGCTATACCTTCACTTCTTTGTTCTGGTTAATTATAGTCAAGAGTCTCACAGACTTTTCTGCCCAGCCTGGCTTTGAGCCACAATCCTCAGGTATCATCAGCCTCCTTATTAGTAGGATTACTGGTGTGAGCCACCAGCACCTGGGTAAATTATTTCTCAAGTGAAGAGCTAATAAAGTACCATGTGTCTGCAGAGAAGAGACCTCTCTAACAGAATTGCTGTGGGAAGAGAAGAAGTCGCCACCCCAGGGATCAAGGAGTGTCATGGGGACAAAGTGAACCTGTGACACAGCAGGGCATCATCTTCATAAGCAAATTTCACCAACTCACAAAGTCGGGGCCACATTTTCTCTTAAGGGTGGAATTTAGGAGGAAAGTAAAAGTCAGAAAACTGGAATATGTAAGTGTATTTAAACAAAAAAGAGAAAGAGGGAATAAACAAAGGCAATACACAGACCAACCAATACATGAATTGAGGTCCTCCTGCAAAAGGGAAAAATGGCCAACATAAACCATGCAAAAAATATTCAATATCCTTAGCCATACAAGAAATGTAGATCAAAATACATGGAAATTTTATCTCACTCTAGTCAAAATGACCATCACCAAGGAAAGAACAACAATAAATACTGGTAGGGATGCAGGAAGTAAAGAAAATTCTACATACCATTTATGCAGACTGAGAATGTAGATTATTGAGGCCACTATAGAAATCAGTAGAAAGTTTCCACAAAAATTTAAAATACAGACCAACTATAGATCCTGCTATGCCTCTATAGGCATATATCTCATGAACAGTAAGTCAAAATATGTGCACATTCATGTTTATTCAGCACTACTCACAATAGCTGAGCTATGGAATCTGCCTTAGTCGCCCATCAAAGAATAGTATTCATCCATGAAGAAGAATGAAAAATATCATTTGCAGAAGAGTAGATGGAGCAAGAGATCATCATGTTGTGTGAAAGGCAGACTCGGAAAGAGGAACACTTTATCTTTTCTCCCCAATGCAGAATCTAGATGGCCCCAAGAGAGGATAGGGGTGCAAATGAGGACTATTTGGAGAAGGACTAACAGGAGTGGGGAGGGCAGGTAGGGGGGAGGATGAGGGTGAACATAGCCAAAGCACATTTACATGCATATATGAAATTATCATGGTGAAGCCCATTAAAAATATTTTGTATTGAATGTTTGAGATTCTTTCAGCTTTCAATAGCTATTCTGAAGGATAAATAACTTCTAAAATATGTCCAATTTTTCCTTATTGTAGACAATACTCCACTGAAATTTGTATTCATATTTTTTAATTGAATAGATAAAATAGAACTCGTTCTTAGGTAATATGTAAGAGCTTCTGTTCTATAGGGCATGCAACGGCACAACCAGAGAGAAAAGATCCAAAATATTAAAAATAACCCAGTAAAATTCTTAATGAGAATTAAAAAGCTTTTCATTTTCAATACGTGGTTTTACAATAAATAAAATTGTAATGTTAATACATATAATTTCTAATATGTGATCTTTTTCAAATCATGAACTTTTTCTCATTTACTTCTAAGAGTTTTATATCTGGAGAAAGAAGAGGTAGAGCAAGTATATCAGAAGGGATGTGGAGGACAGGAATAGTCAAAAGTGGGTATCTACTTTTACATTTGTACATGTATAGAGGTATACATGTACATCTATACATGTATATTTGCAATGACAAGCACATAGATTTGGGTCTGTCTGGGCTCCAAAACCTACCTATCTCAGGGGCCTCTTGGTACATATTTGCAATGAAGTGGGTTTTTTTTTTCCATTAATGCATGTTATCACATGTTAATACCAACAGTGATAAGTTGCTGCATTTATTCCTCTAGGGCTTCATAATCATCATTTATTTTCTCTTCTTTATTAGCATTGAGATGAACTATCATGAGGTTACATTATCAAGACTATGACCTGTATTGTTATGAGATGAAAGCTCAGTTTGGGAGCATATATGTAATCCTTATATAAAGTACCATTGAATCTTTATCAGATAGTTGTGATCTGAATATGTGAATACTCCAAAATTTGTATGTTGAAATCCTAAACACCAAATGGATAATGCTCAAGAAGAGAAAATCATCAGACTATTAGAAGATCATCAGGCAAATTACATTAACAGTCTTAAAGAAAAGGTCAGAAGGAGAACTTTTATTCTTTCATAACATAAATGCAAAACATAAATTTATAACATAAATATTATAGTGGCTGAGGGCTCTAATCTCGATGTTTGGAAGGCTGAAGCAGCACTATCATGAGTTTGTGGCCAGTTTGGTTACCGAGCAAGACACTCTCACAAAATAAAAATCAGAACCACAAAAATAAAATGAGACAAATATATAATGAACCCCTTGTAAGCATGCAGCTATTTTGCTTAGAATGTGAGCAATAAATTTCTGTTATTTATAAGTTGCCCTATATAAGGATTTCTATCATATCCTGAACAGATGATGGTAGCTATCAAGAATCTGGTGAGTATTACTAGAAAAATATGAGTTAAACTATTTTTCTCTATTTCTACTATAAAGGAACAATATTCAGTTTTTCTACAGAACATTCTACTAAACTCTTGTAAGTATAGCCTTTTCCTTGCTCTATTTTCTGTGTAAAATATTTGTTATAGCCAGGTGTCAGTGGCTTACACCTGTATTCCCAGCTACACAGGAGTCTGAGTTCTAAGACATAGTTCTAAGCCAATCTGGGTAGAAAAGTCTTTGAGATGCTTATCTTTAGCTGCCAAAAAGCAAGAAGTGGAGCTGTGACTCAAGTGGTAGAGTATTAGCCTTGAGCACAAAAGCTCAGAGACAGCACCCAGGCCCCGAGAGTTCAAGCCCCAGGACTGGAAAACATAACTGATTGCTAGCGAATAATGAAAGTTCTGTTACTTTCTCTCTCACTATTTATAAATTTTATTTTTATAATTTCTGATTATATGCATACATAATATATTATAATTAAGCTTAGACCCCCAAAAGTTGTTTACTGAAATATTTAATCAGATGTGTTGGTTACTATCACTCTATTGTGCTATACATGTCAGAATCAAAGTATTCCTCTTTTCTGGTGTTAAGACATGCTTTACCATTGTTATGGATCATAAAAGAAAGCCTGAGGCATTTAAAAACAATCCTCTTTTCTTTTTTTTATTGTAAATCACATTAGTAGATTTCTTTTTTCTTTTCCTTTTTTTGGTCAGTTGTGGGGCTTGAACTTTGGGCCTGTAGCTGTCCCTCAGCTCTTCAGCTCAAGGCTAACATTCTGCCTTTTGAGCCACAGCACCACTTTTTGTTTTCTGAATGGTTTATTGGAGATAAGAGTCTCACAGACTTTCCTGCCCAGGCTGGCTTTGAACCTCTATGCTCAGATCTCAGGCTCCTGAGTAGCTAGGATTAAGGGCTTGAGCCACCAGCAGCTGGCACATTAGTAGATTTCTAGTGCTAATTAAACCTTTCATTCCTAAAATAAAAGCTCCATAGAATAGAATGTTTACTAACTAAAAATACTTTGTGATTTAGTTTGTCATTATTTTGCGTATGGTTTTTACATCTAATTTTTAAAGTAGTTGCTATGTAATAGTAAATACTTTCAGAATCATTTCTCCTTTTGGATTTAAATGAGTCAACCCTCCTAACGTGAAGTAGAGGTTTTTCCTTTTGACCTCCAGTCTGAGAGAAACTGTGAGAAGATTTGAGAGAGAAGTTAGCATTTTTCTAAAAATTGTTCCATACTGAAAATCCTGGAGTTAGAATTTAGGAAAAGCTTGTTTAGTTTGCTTGCTCACAGATACCATGATGTCCCCAATCTCCTGAATATCTGGGATTAAAAGTGAGAGGTACCGGATCACACACAATTTGTAATCTTGTCCTGAATTAGAGCGCTTTTGTTCGTTGTTCTTGGTGCAGTCCACAAATTCTCAAATTTTCAGATTTCTGGTCTCATCATTTGCCTTATTATTCCTCATTGTATTTTGTTTCTCCTATTAATTCCTCTTCCTTTTTTATGAGTTCAAATCAGTCTATTGGTATAAAAAAATCTGTGGATATTGAGAATTATATTATCTATTTCAAAATATTTTCACCAAACCGAAATAAACTACCTTCTAATAAGATGTGGTTTCTTTTCAAACATTGATTGCTAGATTCACAACTTCCAAGAGACATTCTGGAAAAGCAATTAGAAGTTGTGACTTCACCTGCTCCCTCACAGATGTGTAATGGTGATTTTTGCTCAAAATTGATCAATGTGCTATTATTTGTCACATAATCTCAGCTACCAGAGATCACATTACTTAAATTTCCTGTACTGTGATTATGACTGGATTCAAGCATATGAGAACATCTTTACAGCAAGCTAACATAACCAATAGATCGATATAAAGCATGCATCTTTCTGCTAGAGGTATGGAGAAGTGCCCGCCATAAGCAAGAACATTGACCAAGAATGAGGTTTTAAATTCAAGCTCCCTGAAAGAATGACAAATAAATTATTGACCATATTAATCATATTACTTATTTTTATTAATTAATGAGCGAGCAAGACATGCATCCTCATAGATGATGACAAATATTTTGAATATACTTGATTACATTAACATCACTTCTTAGAATG